ATTTTACTCTAGTTATCCTCGTCCTAGGTTTTTCCCTGTCAAAGACCGCTGGCGCTCCGGCGAACAAGGACTGTCTGTTACCGAAGGTTGTGGGTTCATGCCGAGCTGCCATACCTAGATTCTACTACAACTCCAATTCAGGAAAGTGCGAAGAGTTTACCTACGGTGGTTGCGATGGAAACGCGAATAATTTTCAAACAGAAGAGGAATGCAAAAAAGCATGTCATGCTGCCTGAGGTAAAGTTTGCTTATTGTCATAATAGACCTCTTTACCTTCGGATTTTTTTCCCATTTCAGACCAGAGTATCATTTTTTTAACGGTTGCACATGAATATGGATACAACTCACACAAAGAATCTCATTCTCAAGAGATTGACACGTGGTCTGGAATGGGAAAACATTGCACCACAACAAATAAGGAAAAATTCAATGACCACATTTACGGTGTATTATTGTACATGTACAACATTGATATGCTCACCTCATGAGGAGAACCTTGAGAATTTTGTTTGTTGAAGAAATAGAAAACACGCGCACGTGCTGTGTGCAGTGATAAAGCACGCGAACGAGGACGTGCAGTAGTGCAATCCCAATTCTCAGGAGATTGGAATACTTTTGTTTTGTCCCCCAGATCGAGCTAGTTTGACGTCACACGCAAGGGGCCTATTACTACGACGTACCGATCGAACAAAACTCTTTCAAAGTTGATCTCATTTGTTGTCACATTTGTTGTAACACATTCGTCTATATTCCTTGTAGGTCCATCTCAGGAGACATCAGAAAATCTAGATTACGAGGAGATCTGAATAAATGCAAAATGCTTGAAATAAATATTATGTCATCGTATATGAAGAGTTTGGTTTGGTTGAACTTGCATATTTATTAGTTCCTTGGTCTGCGCTAACTCACAGATCGAACCCTGAAACGACCACTGGGCTAGATCTAAGTCAGGGCACGGCTAACTCACAGAAACAACCTCTGGTCTGATCTAAGTCAGGGCATGGCTAACTCACAGATCAAACCCTGAAACAACCTCTGGGCTGATCAAATTCAGGGCACGGTTAATTCATCAAAGTAGAATATACCATGTTAGGTTCTGAGGAGGAAGGAAAACCCTTCGAATCAAGAGAGAGGCCTAACCGAAGTCTACTCTGAAGACCAATATTAGCGATACTGATACCGAGATCAGGTTCTGATATGTACAGATAACACTTAAAGTCGGTTTTTCTTAGATAACGAAAACTGTGCTGTCCGAACGGAATAATGAGTCATATAACGTGTTATGATAACTATTCTATCGAAATCTATTAGGCGATATTAGATATTAGCCGTTGACTTGTTTTGTTTGTAGTAGAGTGCTCGCACTAAACCCGTGAAACAAATTCTAATTTTTAGTACTGTGGTCGCTCAACTAGGTGTGTGAGCGATATCCAGAATCGCAGGAGAGCGAAAACACCGAATTATGGCATCAGTCTAATATAAAAACCGATTCACGTAAAACGCGAATGTTTTCCAGATTAAAGTATTTACAGCATATTTTTTTTCCTTTTGTGGAACCAGTTGTTTATATCAGTCACGGTTCTCACAGTTTTGTTTTGTTTTCCATATTTTTCCTCCGTTTTTCATGAAAACGAGTTGAAAAAAAGCTAAAACGTCTTCATTACCTACTTAACAACATGAATGTTTTCCTGACAAAAGATTTTTACAGCATATTTCTTTGTCGTTGTTGTTGTTTTCTCTCTCTCTCTCTCGGTCGCTTTATATCACTGCCACTTGTTTGTGAAAACCGCCAATTTTCTTTGTTTTCCATGTAAGATTTTCCTCTTTTTTACGTATTCTTTTTAACTGGACGGATATATCGAACGGGGAATATCGGCTGAAATCTGTGACGACATCTGTCCACTGACAGCGCATAAAGCTAGATGTTCACTCTCAGTTGTGTTTAACAGTGTTTAAACTGCCTGCATCAATATACATCATGACTTTCCTGAGAGAACTGCTCTTTGCTACGCTGGTAATAACGGCATGTGAGTATATACATATACAATATTTTTCTTTTATTAGAGTGCACGCACTAAAACCGTGAACATTAAATAGTACTAATTAGTACTATTTCATACAGAATCCTTTGTTTTCTATTGTTTAATTATCACTATTTAGTGCTAAAAATTAGTATTCGTTTCACGGATTTAGTGTGAGCACTCTAACAGTGAAGCGTAGTTAACTTAAGTAAAAAGTTGTTTGGTTTTGGTTTTAAAAAATTTTACGTCAAATTCGATTTTTGATTGCATTGCTGTTCGAATAGGATCCAAAAATGTCTGGGTTTTTTTTTTTTCGAATTTAGTTCCTACGATTAAATTCATGAATTTCTAAACTATAAAGTTCTCCTATTAATATGCAGCGATAAACTAATGAAAGTGGCACGGTTTGGGAAAGCTCAAAATGGTAAATTGGCTCTTCCTTTTCTCTGACATCCTAACGTCACACAACTATTTATTTCTCCCGCTTTTTTTTAACAAGAATAACTTATTTTTCTCGCGTTTATTTACATGACCCTACCTGAGAAAGACGGTTCACATGAAGGCAAGGTGCCCCTGGTGCTAGGGACAAGTCTTTTGTATTCTTTCCCCAGGGGACACCAAAAACAAGAGGTAGCCCTAGCAGTAGGATGACCCTACTTTATGAGAGACTGTTCACATAAAGGTAGGATGACCCTGGTGCTAGGGACGAGAGTCTTTTTGCTTCCCTTCCCCAAGGGACACCAAAAACGGGACGTAGTATCTACGCTAGCAGTAAGGTCACCGTCTTACGTAAAAGTCCTTTATTTAAATTATTAAGCTTTACTTTATTCTAAGTATTCTTATCCTAGGTCTGTACCTGACCGCTGGCTATCCAGCGAACGAAGGCTGTCTGTTACCGATGAAGGTGGGTCCATGCCGAGCCGCCTGGCCTAGCTACTACTACAACTCCAAGTCAGAAAAATGTGAAGAGTTTACCTACGGTGGTTGCGATGCAAACGCAAATAATTTTCAAACGGAAGAGGAATGCAAAAAAGCATGTTTGTAAAATGCTGCCAGAGGTAATTTTTGCTTATTATACCTCGTTCATCTCAATCGTTCGTCTGTATTATCTTCTGAACACTCATGATTTGGTTAAGCCTTGTACCATCTGGATCACACATGCGCCTTTAAAATCCTTAGGCTTATTAGTGCAGGCCATGTCTAATTACGAAAAACCCGTCGAGAAAACCCTCGAATCAAAGGAGAGGAGACCACGTTTCAGTCTCATGCGCAAACGATAAACAAAGAAATAATACTCTAGGAAATGATACGTGGTGATAAAAGTGATAAAAAATAACAAAAACGTTCAATGCGCCTAAGGTACAGAGGTCTATTCACTGCCTTTTTGTCTATTTCTCGATCGTCACTCTAATACTGCAAATCAAACCTCTTTGAAATTGATTTCATTTTTGTCACACAAGTAACACTTACACTAGTTGTCTCTATATTCGTTCCTTGCAGGACGCCCGATCTGTCTCAGGAAACACCAGAAAGTGTAGATTAGGATTAATCGAATGAAAACCGAATAAATACAAAATAAAATAAAATAAATTGTCATTGTAAATATTTTTCAGTTTAGACTAAATTGCAACAAATCCTGGATTGGGTAGTAGTTCCAGAAAACGTCCATACTTCTACCGTTGAAATGCTGTTTCAAAGCGCCCTTAGCCAAAGCATTTCCACTCGACGAAAAAATGGATTTGTCATGTAGGCAAACATATAGACAAATATATGGGCAAATATCATATTTGACTAATAGTA